CGGGCTGGCTGCAGAGGCGGAGGTGGGGAGGGTCTGAACTCTGCGGAGAGAGGCTGAAATCCCACACAAGGTGAAATTTTTCCCTAACGCGTTTTTCATCGTTTCAGGAGTCTCCGAAGTCGACCAAAAGCACCACAAAGCCCAGCAGTGGCAGCAGTAGCGGGAAGGATGGTGGGGCAGAGAATTCGGAAGCGGGAAGGCTTTTGCTTTGGATACAGCATCGTGTGTGTGCAGCTCCACTTCAAGGAGGAATGGCATCTCTCATGCTAGCTGCTTCAGCCTGCTCTGCAGGATAATGTGTGTCACTGAGATTTTAAGGAATCAGAGGAGACGGTAGCAAAGGCTGAAGTGAAGTTCGTTCCCCATTGAAAGTTGCCCCAAGTGGAAGAGGCGAGACCGGTCTCGTACCCTCCAGCCCCGGAAAAAGAGCACGAAGCTGGCTGCAGAGGTGGGCAGAGGGTGATAAAAGTTGGCTGCAGAAAAGGACGAGACGCAGTTATCCAGGAGGAGGAAGCCTGACAGACGCGAGCAGCTTCCTCGCTCTGATCAGAGCAAAGCGCAATAAACTCCATTGTCACCTTGTGTCAGAGTGAGAGAGTAGTGAGAAGTGATTGAAAAGGAACATGTTCTTCTGAGGCGTTTTCTGGAGGAATGAGATTGAGAATGAATGGATTGGACACCTGAAACAATAGAGGCACACTTCCAGAGATTAACTGGTTCTCCTGTGGTGTGACAGCATCATTGCTGAGTGCAGCGCTGCTCACAAGAAGGCACAGTCTGCATCCCCAGCTGTGCAGAGTCTCTTTCACTCTCAATTTTGATGTTGTCGAGCTAGATGTGTTAGAGTGGACTCAGCAGAATGTGATAATGTGATAAGGTGTGCTTAGAATTAGCAAAAATTTGCTAACTTTTCTGATAGACTCGAGTTTGTCCAGCACTCGAACTACATAGTGGTGGATTTTGAGACTTGGTTCAGTACACGTGTCCACGGAAGCAGGCATGCGTGTGTGTGGTTGATTATTTTTAATGCTGCAGTTTGGCAAACAAGCTGTGCCACTTCTATGTCTATGGAAGCCTGTGTGCCCAAGTCTTGTCTGGAACACTTGTAATTTGAAGGATTGGGAATAGGAGACATGTAAGGCTAATGAAGACAAGGAAGAAACCTGTAGTTTGTTGGGATGGTCATAGTCAAAATAAGGTTGTTTTAGAGTCTCCTTCAAAGCATAGATCTGTGTTTCAGAGCCTCAGAAAATATCCCTGCTACTAGCCACTTGGTTTCATGGTCCAAGCTGTGCTCACACCTAACCTGCCACTTGGCCAGCAAGGAATCAGAAGCTGAGTGTGTTGCCCTTGGAGGTGGTAGCAGTTTTGTAGATCCTCTTTTTATATCCCATCCCGGTCTTGGTCTCTGCCCATTTAATTTTGTGCATACAGCTGAAAACAGCTTGCTGGGAGAGCTGCCTGCCGGCTCCGAGGAAGAGAGAGAACTCCTGCCTTGACGTCGCGGGTTCGGGCTTATCCTTTATTTATTTGGCATTCTTTGCCTGCTGAGTTCACAGCTGTGGGAAGAGAAAGGAAAGCCTGGGTCTTGCAATATGAGATTGCCATCAAAGCAGAGCTCTCCCACCTCCCCATCCAAATCAGCAGCGAGCCGTGGCACTGCCCTCCTGCTTACAAGTGGTGCAGTAAGAAAGGAAGAGTAGGGAAGGCTACAAGCTTCCTTCTGTGACCTGAAATGGCACTTAATGTCTGGTTGTGCCTGGGTGCAGAAGAAAGTCAGAAGTGATGCGTCTAAGCTTCCCTCCCACAAAACATACCCAGCCACTTCCTCATACTCCAGACAAAATCCAGCCCTTCTTTAAGATGGAAGGCTGGGTCTCCTTTGATCATAGGAACAGAGAGCAGAGCAGAAAGGAGACACCTCTGCGGTGAGCCTTGCCACAGGTCTCTTCACCCTTTCCCCGTTGAGTTTGCCGTGAAGATTGTTCTCTCTTGGTGCTTTCCTGTCTCCAGACTGCTCCGCTGCAGAATGGAAGAGAGCTCTTTGCTCGCTAAGAAGAAATGTATGCCAGTTTGAATGCGATTTTCCTGCTCTTCAGGAAGCACAGAAAGGTATTCTGACTTTCATGTTGGGGGACTGTGAGGAATTAGGTAACGTGTGCTGGGAGCAAGACTCCTTCCTCGTGGCAGAAGCAGGAGGTGGTTTTACTCGTGAAGCCCCAGGAGCGGTATTGCCTGGTGGGATTGATGGCCTGAGCCTGGCCTGGTTGCTTCTGCCACTGTTGTGAAGAGCTTTATGCCCTGTAAATTCCTCCATGGAGTTATGGTCGGTTGGTTGCCTTTTCTAGGGTGAAAGTTGTGTGCACCAAAGAGAATTTTCTTTTTTCTTCATATCTCAAGAGATGCTTAAGGGCTTGCACCAGGAGAGCAGCATTTGGGCAGCCCTCTTCCAGTATGTGCTTTCCTGTCTCACATCATGCTCCGAGGAGCAGGGGAGGGCTCAGCCCTAATTTATCCTGGTACGAGAAAGTTGTGACTTGTTTTCCAGGCGAGTTGTCTGGCTGGTGGAATGAGTAAAGCTTGTTGAAGAGGAGCTCTGGTTTGACAGATCTGAGCAAGTACAGCAGTCAAGGACCTCCGGTGGGGATCTCTGTCGAGGGAGATGAAGCGCGTAGGAGTCAGTCCAGAAACCCTTAAGCATAGTTCACTGCAGCAAAGGAGCTTTTAGTGGAGTTGATTTGGAAGGGCAGATAGATACATTCAAAAGCAGACACATCCCCATGAGGGAAGGCAAGTGTTTGAGTTCCCTCGTAAGTACAGGGGTAGCACAGTGCTCTGAAAGATGCCCATCTTAGGGTGAAGCTATCTGGGATGAAGTGCCAGCCCCTGGCTTTGAGGGGGGGTAGTTTACTCAGGAAGAGACAGGAGCATTGGAGGAAAACAGGAGAGCAGGGAATGGGAAATGAAACGTTTGTTAAGTCCATTTCCTCTGCAACATGATGGGGATATGAATGGAGAGAATTTCTCTGTGGCTGTTTATGGAGAAAAAAGGAAATAATGCCAGAGACCAAAGCAGCATTGAATGAGAGGATGAGAAAGAGTTACTCCTCCTGGCCAGAAAGACTGGGAGAGGCAGCTGGGTGGGGAAGAGAGCTAATGACCTGGAAGTGGGAGCAGGGATTAGCAGCAGCAGTAAAGAGGAGAGAGGAGTTGCTCTGCAGCCTCAAGGGCAGCTTGGAGCCTTGCTGATGAGATTTGCAGCTCTGGGAGAGGGTGCTTCTGTTCACTGAGCTACTGTATTACGTGTTTTGCAGATATCTCCATGGGGCTTGTTACTGCAGTACCTGGGGTTCATTATTCAGACAGGCGTTACAGTGTGTTGATGTTACTTCTGAGGCAGAGAGCTTGATTTTAATAGGAAAGCTGTGTAACAGCAGACAAAGAGAGCAGGTACTGACTTGAGGGATGGGAAGGGAAGAGTCATCTGAGGAGGAGGAGCTGAGAGCAGATCTAGGCTGAGAAGCTTAGCAAGCAGGGAGGGGGAGTGCTCAAGGGACCAGTGAGGCAGAAGGGCTTTAGGAGTGGCGTGGCGATGCACCCAGCTGCTGTAGGAGTGCCTGCAGAGGTGAGGTCATGCATTTGTAGGAGCGCAGAGGAGAAGATGGCACAGCTCAGGGTGACTTTGGGAAGAGAGTTCCTGTCTCTGGGAGTTCGGGGTGAAAAGAAATGTCACAGAGCTCGCCCAGGGCCTGGGACTCGTTGACTTATGCGGGCAAGCTCCTAGCAAGGAGAGGTAGTGGCGAGAAAGTGCTGTGAAGCCAGAGACCTGTGCCTGGGGTAGTTCGAACACCGTTGCAATCGGAGCTGGCCTAGCCTGTTGGCATAGGTCAGCCGCTCCACCGCAGCGGGGAAGGTGGGGCTGCCGCACCGCACTTCGGAGAACAGCTTTGTGCTGTTCTACAGTCACTTCAGCATGTGCAGAGTGTAACAGCCACCGGCAAACAGTGTCTCCCAAGCAGATGGCTTTGCCGTGGTGGTGTGAGCCCTGCCTGTCAGGACTGGACTGAGCCCCATCAGGTTGATGTGTGCCTGCAGCCATGTGGTGGTGCTCAGCTGGTGCCAGTGTCAGGGGAACGATCCGTGAGGTTGATACCTGTGCGTTAAGAAAAAAGCTTTCAGTTTCAGCAGTCTGCTGTGTTTTCAGGGCTGGAAGCTTCAGAGAAGGAAGTGTTAGGAAATTTAAAACAAGCTTCTTCTGATTCATGTGGCTGAGGTAGGAGGTGTTGAAGGCAGAGGGACAGGAGGCCTGCAACAGGAAGCACCTCTTGAAAGCAAGTATTCAGCTTGATGCCAAACAGTCCATACAGAAGCAATCCGTCCTAAAACTCTCTGAACACTTTAGCGTAAGATTGTAGCTTACCTCCTCTATCACTGGATTTTCTCGAGCAGACTTGGTTGTGTGATTTTTTTTTACCTGCATATGTCTGTTTCTTAAATAACTAGTAGCTAAACCTGAAGCTGTGTTTTGTCTCTCTCCGTGCCAGCTGTTGAAGACTGTAGAAGCTGGTGACAAGGTGGTGCAGTGGCAGCCTGTTAGCATGTGATACCCACACCATACTGAGAACATTTTTCTGTGGCATTTCGGGGTGAGTGGGGAACGCACAGGCATGTGCTGTCAATTCAGAGGACCCATGTGTCCTGCTTCCCTCAGCGTTACCTGTGAGGCTGCCGACACACCTTTTGTTTCTCTCTGTACCATCTTTTCTCTGCGGTGGCTCAGCATCCAGGTTTGGGCCTTCTTCCATGTCGAAGGAGAATGATACAGAGTAGAGGGCTAACCTTCCCAAAAATGTCTGGACATCTGAGTGGCTCACACTGCCCCGCTACCCAAATATTCAGGATGAGGAATGAACTTCTCGCTCTTGGAAGGCTGCCAGCAAGGATTCAGCCTGACTTAACTGAGGAGAGATCACTATTCGGGGATAAGTTGCTTCCAATTTGTAGTGTGGGCCTGCTTTGTCTGGCAGGCACAGCTGTTTTCATCACAAGCTCATCTTGCTCCCTGCTCTCATCATGGGACAATGCTGCTCTGTGAAAGGAATCAGATCAAATCCAAATTGAAGAGAGTTCAGATCTTGTTGTCTCCCCCACTTTGGCTCGGAGCTGAGCTTGAAATAGAACCAGGCAGTCCCAGATCTGAACCAAGATATTTCTGGTTTCTTGTTCTAAGTAATGGCTTGACAAAACAATTGGGTGTTCGTGTTGGGTGCTATTTTTCACAGGGCTTCTTTGCACTTGCTCTCCAGATCCTAATCTGCAGAGCAGTGTCTACCTGTAGGGAGCTTTCCCTGTTCCTGACCTGCTGCCTCCCCATATGCTGTGGGTGCAGCAACGCTTTCTCTTGCACCGTGATGCTGTACTGCACCGCTTGGGAAACTGTCAGGACTCAGTTCAAGGTGAGGACTGTGCAGGGTAAGCTGCAGCTCAGCTGCTTCTCACAGGAAGAGACTGGCCAGGTTTTGTTTGAAGGAGAGCTCTGATGAACTTCTGCGCGGCTGGTGCTTTCTCTCAAAATCCTGCTGGTTGGTGTTCCGGGGAGGTGTGCATTTGTCCCTGTGCTGTGTGTGGCAGCTGGGTGTTTATGGCAAAAGGAGGAGGGAGACATCCAAGGATTTCGCCCACCCCTGCTCGACATCCATTGTGTCATGTCTTAAAGAGGTTCACCCTGCAGGTCCTTGGCTTCATGTGCCAGTGGAAAGGAGGTGGCAGAGCTGAGGAAGGGAGCATTGCTGGGCCTGTGCAGCAGAGCCAGAGTAGGCTGAGCACTGTCCCAGCAGAGCCCTTTGCTCTAGGCTTGCTGCAGAGATGTTGCCTTCTTCCATATTAAGTTTTCCATGAGTTGGATTGATGTGCTGTTAAAAGGTCAGTTATTGAGCCAATAAGTCCCAAGTGGGACTTGAACCAGCAGAGCTTCAGCTGGTTCAGAACAGAGCCGAGCCGGGGAAATCCTGGCTTTAATTTCTGGCCGCCTGCTAAAAATACAAGTGTCCCTCTGTAAGTGCTGTTTGACAAGGACAAAGCAGAGAGGATGTCTGCTGGAACAAAGTGCAGGCAAAACATTTGATGTGGAAAAAGCAAATCGAGAGGAGAAGTCTAGGCAGCAGTGAGGCTGGGACAAGGTGGGAGCAGCCAGGACAGGTTGAGAAAGCCCACAACTTGGGACATATGGTTGGGACATTATGGCCTGTGTGGTTTGTAGGCTGACGGCTCCTGGTCTGTGGATGCGGCAATGATTTCAGTGGTCTTCACTCTTGCCTTTCTGGGGCCATCATATCTGTTCTGTACTGCATGTTGCTTTTCTTTTCCCCACGTGGTTCCCTGCAGAAGGATAAGGAAGCAACTAGCTAATTGTCAAAATTTGTTTGCTGTGTGTTGTACTGAGTGCTGTAATTGGAGACAGAGGCGCATGAAGATTTCTGTTTGGACCACGAAAAGTTCTTATTTCTGCTATTCTGTGTCAACAAATTTGTGTAACTTGTTGCAAGACGTGGTTTTACTTTCTGTATCCCTAGCACCTGCTGTGCCCAGAGGCTCTGGTGTCCTTGTCATGCCTCGCAGATATTTGTAAAACTGATGTTCATTTTGCAGGTATGCTGCAAATGCAACCAGTGGGCCTAGAGCTCTGCAGGAGTGGGTGAACCGCAAGCGCAACAGTGAAAAATGTGGCCAGTTTCTTCAGTCCAAGAAGATTTTAGTGGCATTTGATTGCTTGTGAGGCTTTTAGGTAAAAACTTACGAGTTGTTTCACTCTCTTCTCCATCATCAGGCCCAGCAGCCTCAGCAGCAGCCACAGCAGCAGCAGCCGCCACAGGAGCAGCAGCAGACAACTTCAAATAAGCGCTCCAGTAACAGCGCTCCCCCACCAACCCCGCTGAATAAGATTAAGTACTCGGGAGGACCCCAGATTGTGAAGAAGGAGCGCCGGCACAGCTCTTCTCGCTTCAATCTGAGCAAAAATCGGGAACTGCAAAAGCTCCCAGCCCTTAAAGGTAAAGACTTCAGTACTTAGCTTCCCATTTGAACTGATTTAAGCCCTCATGCTTATTGTATTTAGGATTGCCTTAGATTCTTCAAGAGGTTGTGTATGAAGCTCATGAAGTGCAGAGGCTTTGATACAGACTGCTCTTGGTTCTTACAGCAACCCGTTCCTGGGCAGGGACCAGGCCTTCCTCCTCCTTGTGTTTCCATTGTACATTATGGTAGTGCTATTGAACTTGTCCACCTTAGGGCAACTACCCACTATTAGCAGTTAGTCTACATAATGGTGCAATTAAACATGACTTAAGTGCAGACAAGGAGAAAGCATTTTCAGCAGTCAGTCATCCAGACCCGTTGCTGACATTGCTCACAGAAGCAGGCAGTGTTTTCTGGCAGGGTGACTGCCTGAAAGCTCAGCAGCCGTTCTGCAAGCAGGAGTTGAGTTTGCCTGGCTGGCCTTAGCGCTGAGTAGTTTCAAGTGGCAACATATTAAAAGGAGAACATTGTTAATATCACGTCTGAGCCACCTTGGCCCCTCTCTTATGGGCCACTCTCTGGGAGAAGGGTTAGGCTGCAGTGTGCTTTGACCAGCTCCCTTTGTGACTGTGGGGTATCGCTGCTTTGTGATGGGAGCTAGTTAAGTGAGTTCCTTTTCCAGTGTACTTTGTACTGGAGGGAGATTGATGCTTATCAGAGCAGAAGCCAATGCCATGTTTGATATCATGTTATAGCATAGTTGCTCCAGAGCCCTTGCAGTCCCTCAGCCTCCACTGTCCCATCTGTACAACTACCTGAAAGGAGGTTGTAGTGAGGTGAGGGTTGGTCTGTTTTCCCATGTACCGAGTGACAGGACGAGAGGAAATGGCCTCAAGTTGCTCCAGGGGCGGCTTAAGTTGGGTATTGGGAAAAGTTTTTTCACTGAAGGCATTGCCGAACTTTGGGATAGGCTGCCCAGAGAAGTGGTTGAGTTACCGTCCCTGGAGGTTTTTAAAAGACCTGTAGATAAGGTCCTTAGGGACATGGTTTAGTGCTGGACCTGGTTTTCCTAGGCTAACAGTTAGACTAAATGATCTTAAAGGTCTTTTCCAACCTAAATGATTCTATGATCTCCATAGCAGGGATAACACTACCTCTCCCTCTTCCCTCACCAGCTCAAGGGGGATTGTGATGAGGGAGAGGGAATGCAAGACAGGGAGCAAACCATGCTGATACCTTAGGCAACTCCAAAGACAGCTGTCCCCGCTTTCTCTGACAGATGCTCCTCCACACGAACGAGAAGAGCTTTTCATCCAGAAGCTGCGGCAGTGCTGCGTGCTTTTCGACTTCATCTCTGACCCCCTCAGTGACCTGAAGTTCAAGGAGGTGAAGCGAGCAGGTCTCAATGAGATGGTGGAATACATTACACACAACCGTGATGTTGTCACTGAGGCCATCTATCCTGAAGCTGTTATCATGGTAGGGCATGGGGCCAGTACATGCTTGTGTGCTGAAGAAATAGGGACTGTTCAGAAGCGTGGGGGCAAGGAGGGTGATAGGGATTTGTCAGAGTGTGACCCCAGTCCTACCCAGAAGTGGTGGGGGAAGTTATAGTGCCTGGTGTAGGGAGAGGTGGAAGCTCTTGTCGCTGGCAGACTGCTCTTCTGCAGTTCATATGCAGGCTGTGACCCTGCAGCCTCAAAGGAGGGAACTGTTTGTGGGCACACCTGTGGCAAATCACAGTGTGTTGCTCTGCAGTGAAGGATTTGTTACGGGGAGGACCGTCAGGAGGTGCAGGGCTGTCATTCATACACCTTTTCACTCCCCTCAGTTTTCAGTGAACCTCTTCAGGACACTTCCGCCATCATCCAATCCCACAGGCGCAGAGTTTGACCCTGAGGAAGATGAGCCTACATTAGAGGCTGCCTGGCCACACCTTCAGGTGAGGAGGAGCTGGGGAGGGGTTATAGAGCTGGTCAATTTATCACCAGGGAGTTGAGAGGCCGTGTAGTGCTGGAGCCTGCCAGCCCAGCCTGCGAGGGTCGCTGGTGTGGGGCTAAGGAGAGACCAGGCCTGCCGCTCATGGGCTGATGGTGGCTTGTAGGTGATGCAGGCATCAGGGATGGATGTTCTGGAAACAGGCTGTGTGCAGCATTCACCTGCAGATGGCTGTAGTTCCACGTGGCACTGAGGTAGGCTGGGAGGGAACACTTTACCGGGAGTGAGCCATATTGCCTATGTAAGAAGCAGTGTTAACAACCCTCCTGAAGGCAAAAGAGCCCTCATCCTCTGGGTTTAAGGTGCAGAGCAGGGCAACAAAGCTGGTGAAAGGTCTGGAGAATAAGACTTGCAAGGAACAACTGAGGGAACTGGGATTGTTTAGCCTGGAGAAAAGGAGGCTGAGAGGAGACATCATTGCTCTCTTAAAACTGCCTGAAAGGAGCTTGTAGTAAGGTGGAGATTGGTCTCATCTTCCAAGTAACAAACGAAAGGACAAGAGGAAACGGGCTCAAGTTGCACCAGAGGAGGTTTAAATTGGATATTAGGGAACATTTCTTTACTGAAAGAGTGGTGAGGCATTGGAACAGGCTGCCCGGGGAAGTGATGGAGTCACTATCCCTGGAGGTGTTCAAAAAATGTGTAGACATCGCCCTGTGGGACATGGTTTAGTGGTCATGGAGGTGTTGGGTTGACAGTTGGACTTGATAATCTTAAAAGTCTCTTTCAACCTTAAAGATTCTATGATTCTAGAATTGGGGACAGCACCTCTGTCTGCTTCAGTGCTCCTCCCCTTCCCCAGCTCCCTGGGAGGTACAAGGAGGAAGAGGACTGCTTGGTGCCAAAGTAAAGCCTGAGCTGGCACCTGCTAACATATATTTCCTGCATGCTGGATGTAATTCAGTTGCACTAACTGGAAGCAAACATTTGACCGTTAAAGACTGGGAACTGGAGAGGAGGAAAAGGAGAAGGGGACTAAGGATCTTTTCATTAGGGTCTGTGTCCTGGGAAATAGACTTTAAGACAAACTATCTGTAAAAGGTTATGAAAGCAACAGTGAGAATGGCGCAGCAGAGCTCAGCAGTGGAAGCCAGGAGTTAAGATTATGGGAGTCTCCCCAGGCACTTGCACAGGAAGGTGTTGTCAAGCAAACAAATGCAAGAGCCAGGCACTGCAGAGTGAAGCAGAAAATGCAGAGAGGAGATAAGGTGCAGTTCTGCAGCAGTGGTTAATCACTTCTCACTGCTGCAGTTGACATAGGGATGTGAGTGTCAATAGAGTGGTGTGTCCTCAGCACCAGAGTGCTGTGAGTGTTAGCAAGCATTTGTTTCTCAGAGTTACGTCAGCAGCAGACAGCATAGGTTTGTGGCAAGTGTGGGCTGAGGTTTTTGGTCATTTTTTTCTGTACCGCAGTCCTTGGCAGCCAGGCCCTGCCTGTGGATGGGTGGCCCCATATCTGCTTCACCTCCAGAGCTGCTTCACAGGCCTTTGAGGTGCAGCACTCTTGCTAAGCCTGGTGGCCCCTCAGAAGTGCTAGGCAGCGTCAGCCCTGGAGTGGACTCGTCTCTTCAGGAGGAGAGCAGTACCAGAAGTTGTCGTTTCAGTGCTGACAGCCTCTTTAGAGCAAGCTGCCCTTTATTGCCCAAGTGGGACACAGCATGCAGCTCACATGGCTTAGCAGGGCCAAACCAATCTGGAGTCCATCCCCGGGAGGCGGAGGACACAACGTATTTTCCTGGGATCTGTTTCATTTCTCTGCTATTCTGTTCTTCGTTGGTGTGTCTGAAGAGCTTCCAATGAAGCCTGAGCCTTTGCCATCTCCTCTGAAGGTTTCTGTTCTCTGTAGAGATGTGAGCTGAAGGGAGGAGAAGAGTTTCCCAGGCCTAGTGTATTTGTCTGAGTAGGTGACTGTTGTCCTTGGTGGCACCTGAGGTGATGAGATCTCATGGAGCCTCAGGCAGTTATGTGCCACCAGCCCCCTGCCCATTAGAGCAAGGGCAGCTGAGTTGATCTGACTGTGTGGTGCAACAGGTTCCTGTGTTCTCTGTGCTCCCATTCAGGCTTCCCAGCCTTTCCCTGAATCCTTAAAGAGAAGGAAAACATTTAAAATCTGAAGGAAAACATTTAAAATCTGAAGTAAACACTAGTGAGAGGACGAGAGGAATTTCTAAGTGATCTTTCCTTTTCTCCCCATAGCTGGTGTATGAGTTCTTCCTCCGGTTCTTGGAATCTCCTGACTTTCAACCAAATGTAGCCAAGAAATATATTGACCAGAAGTTTGTACTATCTGTAAGTAATCGTTGCGTCTGGCACTGTGTGCCACCTTTGTAAAGGACATGCAGCAGATTTTTGGTCAGGGTGTTATGCAAACAGTCCAGCGTTGTCAGCAAGGCTGTTGATGTTGATTTTCTTTTTTCCTTTCTATAGTCTTGAAAGAGCAGCCAGAATTCTCTGTGCAGGGCAAGAGTGTGTGCAAACTGTAGTCCCTGGAATTTACCACTTACTGTACAGGTGGGGGCCTTGCAGGGGAAATATGGGGATGTGCAGCTTTGTAGAGGGTGCAGGCCATCACCGTGCTTCCAAAGATGAAAGAAGTGCTGGTGCTTCCAGTCTGTGACAAGGAGTCTGCGTGTTTCAGGGAGGTGACTACCGTGTCCAGGGAGCTGAAGGCATTACTCAACTGAAAGAACCAATTTTATTGCTCAGGAGTGGTGCCCAGTGTTGCTGGTAGCTTTGTCCAGAGAGGCAATATGCAGACACTGACTGAATTTCTCTCTCCACAGCTGCTAGATCTCTTTGACAGTGAAGACCCGAGAGAACGAGACTTCCTAAAGACTATTCTGCACAGGATCTATGGGAAGTTCCTGGGTCTGCGAGCATATGTGAGGCGGCAGATCAACAACATATTTTACAGGTGAGATGTTTCTTGGTGCCACTGGCCTAGAGAGTGAGTGGCACAATCCACTGAGATAAATCTGGGGCACTAGGCTGTGATTCTTTCTGATCCAGACTGTGATTAGCCAGGTGACTTAGTTATGTCACATTACTTTGGTAGGGATAGCATTCACCTGTGTTTATGAGCAGTGAGGATGCGATAGTGCTCTCTTCAGCACACATAGCAAATATTGGGGCCTGTAAGCTTTAGATGATCTGGGGACCACGAATTTATTTGCTTCTGTTTCTTACACCTTACCCTGTCATGTTGGAGTTCTGTTATTTGCTAGGACACTCCCCATCTCCAGTGTTTTTCCTTCCTTTTGCTTATCAAACTGTATCTAGTGTTTGGCATTGACCTCTTACTCTTCTCTGTAGGTTCATCTATGAAACAGAGCACCACAATGGGATTGCAGAGCTACTGGAGATCCTAGGAAGGTAAGGGCATTTTTGGAAGTCTCAGAGGGCCCATAGTGAGTGAGGCCTTCCAGTCCCGTGTGCTACCTGAACTGGCAGTGCCTTCAGCAGTTTTTGCAGGAGCCACTTCTTCCAGAGGATCTCAGTCTGATGAAGCACACAGTGAAAGTACTCGCCATCCTGCCAATAAAGGCAGTGGTAGCATTTTCCTCCCCAGGTTTATCTCCTGTTCTTTTGAGTGTGAGCCCAGTCACACTTGCTGCCTTGCCTCGGCAGACTCTTGGGTAAAACACAAGAGTTCCTCACAGCCCTAAGAAGCCTCAGCAGTGGGAAGCCTTCTCCATGCCTTCAACTGCCTTCCTGTTTGCAGCCCTTTCTTATGCCGCCATCCTCCTGTGCTGTAAAGTACAGACCTCGAGGACTGGGCTGCCTCTGTGCTGGCCTTCCCCAGAGGTTCTGCTTAATTGTGTGAGCTCAGTCTGGCACAGGGCACAGAAGAGCCCAGGTCCCATCAGAGGTGTTTCCCTGCAGTGCTTGCTGAGGGAAAACTGTTGATGTGCATGGTAGGCAGTTTGGGCCGCAGCCACCACACTTCTTCTGGTGGGTACTTTCTCAAGTGACTAATGAGAGCTAGGGCAAGCCACAGTTTCTTTTGAGGTGAGAGATGCTAAAGATGTTAATGAGATTCTTATTTCTTCTCAGCATCATCAATGGGTTTGCTTTGCCTCTGAAGGAAGAGCACAAGATGTTCCTCATCAGAGTCTTGTTACCATTGCACAAGGTGAAGTCTCTCAGTGTGTACCACCCGCAGGTGAGAAGTACTTCAAGTTCCCAGGGCACAGAGCGATTCTTGCAAAAGCCATTGTTAAGGCTCATTTATAGCTATTAACCGGGCTGCATTACTATGTGGTGCAGAGTTCTCGCTGTGAGATGTTTTGGGCTCTGTAACTAGTCCCTTACTGTGGTGGTTTGTCCCAGCCTTGTAGTGCCTGGGCCCGTAAGTATACGTGTGTGCTTTTTGCTATTGGCTGATAGAAGGATAGCCTGCTGTTTTCTGCTGCCTTAGTGCTGTGACCCGCTTTGACTTTCTGTGCTGGAAGTTTGTGAAATATTGGGGCCCTGCTGAAAGCAGAGAGGTAAAATTCTGAGCTGCAGTCATCAGCCTGCACGTGTGGTGTGTCAGCTGTTAGTCACTGCTGAGATATACAGATAAATCCGTGTGCTGGGCTTCTAAGCTGGTATAGAGATGGATTTCTTACACTTCAGAATACATAATAGAAAAGTAGAGAAGATCAAGACTCAGACTATGAAGTGAAAAGGTACAGGTACTGAGCAGTGATGTCTGCTCTCCCAGCCTTGTTTTTATGGGGCAGGGCTTCATGATAGGTTTGTTCCTCTGCATGTGTGCAGCTGTGCGTGCATTTGAATATATTAGCTGCACACTGCTCTAGGTGGCTTAAGTTTTATATTTTATGCTGCGCAAATATCCTGAGCTCAGGCCCTGCCTGTTTGGTCTTAGAGCCTGCACTTGCTGTCAGAAGAACTGGATGCATTTGGACCTGCAACTGTCTGCTCACTACACACACTGCAGAAGGCATAATGTGACTTCCCGCCTAGGGTGGTGATGGCACTTTATTCCCAGGTACACTTGAGGAACCTCTAATCTTGCCATGTTTTTTTTCCTGCAGTTGGCGTACTGTGTTGTACAGTTCTTGGAGAAAGACAGCAGCTTGACGGAGCCAGTGAGTAACCTTGCTTAACCTCGGTGTGTCAGTCAAGTCCTAAAAAGCTTCACAGCTCCCTTACAGCAAAGGTGAAAAAAGGTTAAAGAGGCTGGGATTCTGCTGGATTGTTTTCTGGGTTTGCCTGGTACCCTGTAGGCAGAGGAGGAGGTGATGCTCATGTGCCAGCCTTTAGCATTCCCTCCTGAAAGGTTCAGGAACCTGAGCGATAGTCTTCCTTTGTGCTTCAGATCTTAGTGGAGCAGAAGGAATGCTATACCAAGCTGTCCCTTCAGGGCAAAGCTTTCAGCTAGTGACAGATGCTGCAGAGATAAAACACAAGCCCATCCAATATCTGATGGAACCAATATGAGCTTGTGGGTGCCCTGAAATAGTGAGAGTTCACTCCAGACTACAGAGTTGGCTGAAAAACCGCGAGGGTGAGGTTAGAAACCTGAGACATAGGTCTGCTTAAGTAAGCCACTGTTCCTTGGTGAAAACTTCTGCTGTAGCATCAGTTTGCTACCTCTGTAGTATCAAGTCACGTTGTAGATGCATTTGCCTTCAGGATGTAGCACTGGGAAACGGCAAGTTCTAAAATGTATGAGCAGGGTAGATGGGGACCTGACATATTCCAGTCACTGGCTGCATAGACCTGCAGCATTAACCAGGCTGTATGCTGGCTTGGCACAGGGTGCAAGCAGGAGAAAAGTGTTTCTCCACCCACTGCAGGCCAGGAAATGTCTTCTACAGAGTTGAGCTTCACAGCCTCAAAACAGCAGATGGCCAAAGAACGCATGCTTGTGGCACTGTAGCAGGGAGCACCAGAAAGTGAAGCATTTTTATGAGTAATGCTAGCTGAGGTCGTTCTGTTCTCTGGCTGAAATGCGTGTGCTCATGGTGAGCCTGACTGCGCTCGGTGGAAGCTGGTCAGCTGTTGTCAGCTTTCTGGCTCCTCAGCTCTGACTGAAGCAGACCTCCCAAGCTGTTCCTTTAAGTGTGGGTCTTCCATTTCCTGTGTTCCCAAAAGCCTGCTCTGAAACAAACTGCATAAAGTAGCTTCCTGATCATGCCAAGTACTTCCTGTGGCTGACATCCAGCCTGACAGCCTCCTGCCAAAGCACTTACTGGAGGGAGAAGAGAGAAAGAGAAATCTGTCAATATTTCCAGGATTCATTTTTGCAGCTTACTCAAATTGTAAAGCTGCAGAGGTTGATACTGCTTCCCAGGTAATGGGTCAGTTACCCCTGGATTAGAGACCCAGGTCTCGTCTGGTCCTTGGGGAGAGCAGTGAGATGACCCAATTTCATTACCTTCAGTGGGTGTTGCGTTGGGTCTCAACCAGACATGCCAAGGCTGTTTTGCCACAGGTCTTGTCCTATTGAAGCACCCTGCTAGTGAAGGTTTTGAGTGGACTCCTGAGATGACGGGGATTTTTGAAGTCTTGCAGAATTACAGGGCTTGTGCATCAGCAAGGCTCTGAATGCACCAGGAGGTTTTGCCACCAGTGCTGGAAGGAGGGCAGATCACTCACTAGGTCCACACTCACTTGGAGTGGGCCTCCCAGAAGCTTGCTCAGCAAGGCTTGACATGGTAGCTCTTGCGTTAACAGCAGTCTGAGTGACTGCCAGGTGAGCAGGGCCTCAGATGTGCTCAGTAATACCAAAGACAGACTTGGCACACCTTGCACCGCCTTAGCTGTAGGAGAAATTACATCTGAGTTACTGAAGCTAACTTGCAGAAGAGGCAGACCTGAGTAATGACAAACACCAAGGATACCAAACTCTTGGCTCCTCAGGCCTTGATTTGGTGGAAAAATAATGCTCAGATGTTTCTAATCCTGCTGCTGTGTTGCTCACTACTGTCCCTTCATGGCTGTGAACTTCCTCCAGAGTGCTGGCTTCAGGATCAGGTTACTGAAGTACACAGAGTTTGAGAGAGCAAGTCCCACCGCCAGTTGTGTGCAAATCTCATGTCCCCGGAGTCAGCATTTCTGTAAATGCTGTACCAGTGACCCCAACAGAGTGAAGATCTGCAGGATCTTGCATCTGTGTCTAGAAGCAGATGGATAAGGAAGGAAGCAATGTTTAAAAAAAATAAAACAAAAGTGGAATATAACCCCTTCTCTAGTATATTCTTCCAGTATCTTGTAAGCAGTAGTTTACTCAGCCAGAAGTTGCATCTGCGACGTCATATTTAATTATCACCACTAAGTGTGACCTCCATAAACTTGTCTGCTCCATTCTGGAGCCTGAGCCTTCACAAAGTCTTTCAAGAATGAACTGCATAATCCGATTACTTTTGTGTGATTCCTTTTCCTCGTCCCAAACCTACCCACTGCATAATTTATTGGGCGCTTCTCAGAGTTCAAGCTCTGTGGTGTATTGAGTAATGATTCCTCAGTGACCTTCTCCACAGCATTTCCAGTTTTAATACTTGATCTTCCATGGTTGCCCTGCATCATTTGCCAGCCACCGCCCGCTCTGGTTTGAGCCTTCCGTGTTAAGCTGTGTTTGCGGAAAAACGTGGTTCTAAGCTTTGTGTTTGTAGTACAGAATCATAGCAGCCTGAAAAGTGCTGCTGTCTTGCGTGTAACTTGGCGGAGTTTGGGCTTTTCTCTTCTCTGTTCCATGATACCTCACCTGACTTTCTGAGAAAGTCACTTTGGTTACTTCCTCCCCTCTGCTGTTGTGAGCAGACCCTTAAAAATTTATTTCAGAGCTGGTGTTAACTTTCAGTCTCTAACGCTGTCTCTGTTACCCTCCCCACTCAGGTGATTGTGGGCTTGCTGAAGTTCTGGCCGAAAACTCACAGTCCCAAGGAGGTGATGTTCTTAAATGAGCTGGAGGAGATCCTGGATGTGATTGAGCCATCTGAATTTGTGAAAGTTATGGAGCCCTTGTTCAGGCAGTTGGCCAAGTGTGTCTCCAGCCCACACTTTCAGGTGGGTTGCAGCTCAGGGAGGGGATAGGGCACTGGCTTGTAACCCGCTTGGCATGTGAGGGTGACACCACAGCTTTTGGGCTTGTCTTTGTGGATCAGTGGCCTATGGAGGTGTGACCAGGGTGAGTATTGGGGTGACATGTGGTGGGAGGCAGCAAGAATCCTCACCATAACCACAGAGCAAGCTCTGCCAAAGAGAAAACAGAATGAATTGGTGGAGCCTCTCCTGCTGTGCTGTGCCATTCAGCACCAAGTATTCCAGCAAGTGGGAGCGGAGGTGCTCCACCACCTGCTCTTTTGGCTAGCAGACATAGAGGAGATCCGTCCAGTGTCACCCTGTCGCAGTAAAACCAGGCTGGCTGCAACGCTGGAGGGAGGCCAGCCAAAGAGACAGTGTGCGGGGAAGGTGCTTTGTATTGTTCTGGTGTAGGTGAGAGTGAGGTATACTGAAAAAGTGCTGGAGTCTGCTGCCTCCTCATTCTCACTGAGCGGAAGATGGCTGTAGTACCAGGCAAAAATAATCTCTCTGGCTGGTAGTCTTAAGGTTTAAAATGTCCAGGGTGGTAGGACCTGCTGGTAGCTCCTAGCAGGTGTTCTTGGCTCACTGGTTTAGGTTTCCATGAAGAGTGCCCAGGAATAAGATGGCTTACTGGTGAAGCACGTGGCTGACCCAGGTATGGGTGGGGTGTTAAATAGTGACATAGTCCTCTCCCAGAGCAAGAGGCAGACTGGCTTCAGTCTGTCTTTTGGTACAGAGAGCTACAAAGTCATGTGTTTACAAGCCAAAAATGAGGTCAGTCTAGGTCACATGCGTATGTAAAAGATCACCGTTTCCTGGAAAGGACTAGGGGAGCCTGATGGAAACCAGCTGGACATGGATTGCTGGTGTGGTGATGGGAACCAAAGGGCTAACATGACCTTTGAGTGTGGAAGGAGCTACCACAGCAAACTGAGCAGCTTCAGTAAAGTAGGGTAAAGGCTGGAGGAGAGGCATCCTGTACTTGATAGCAGCCCTCATCTGCTGCCAACTCTTTGAAAAACAAGACTGAAAAACCTGGGGGATGTGAAAACACTTTACAGCCTAAGAAAATTAACCCCTGACGTGTCCCATACAGTCAGGCTGAACAGTCTCTGTGTCTGTGGCGTGTCTGAGAGAAAAGAGTAGGAACTCACTTCGTAAGTCTGAACACCTTGGTAGGGGAGATTTTCTTCCTACTGGATTGGGTGTTAATCTAGCAGACAAAGGCTTAACAAGATCCAGTAGCTGGAAACCAAAGCTACCTGAGTGAGCACAAGTTGAGTTTCACTTTATTTACTCACGTGGAACAGTATGTTAAGGGAATATAGTGAGTTCTCCATCTTCCAAAAATACAAAACTGAGACTGGCTGTCTCTCATCCTAGTTTTTTAAGCCATTCTCAAGCTAGCACTAAATGCAGGAATTTAGCCTGGTGATCTGCATTGCCCAGATCTGTGGTTAAATATGAAGAATTGTGGTTGAATCTGTCGCTATGTGGAAACTTGTTAGACTTGTTGGTCTTGTTAGAGCAGGATGGCTGCCCCGAGATTTTCCATATTTTCACCCTTACTAAATCAGAGGGATGAATTGTGGGACTGGTGACTGAAGCATGCTCCAAAGCCCAGAGAGTCTTTGTTGTGGGGAAGGCCAGGGAGGAATGGAGTTCTGAAGGAGTCTTGCAGCTAGTCTGAGATGGTACCTGGAGTGGGTGACATTGCTGTCCTCAGGTGTTGGGTAAAGGGTGTTGGAGTCATCAGTATGTCAATGGTAGGCTTGCCTAGTCAAGGACGTGAGGGTTTCCCCAGGAAAGTGAGGAGTGTCTGGCACATGCGAAGGGAAGGAAAGCTAGGCAGCAGGGTTGAATGGCCTTGTAGAAGCTGGCAAAAGTCAGCCCTGCTGCCTGCGCTCTGGGGAAGTGTTTGCTCCTCATCTGGGTGGTGGCAAGCACAGTTTCCCTGTGCACCACAGGTATTACTCAAGGAGCCTTTCCAAGGATGGCTTTCTCTCCCACTGCAGGTGGCAGAGCGAGCACTGTACTATTGGAACAACGAATATATCATGAGCCTGATCAGCGATAACGCAGCCAAAATTCTCCCGATCATGTTTCCAGCGCTCTACAAGAACTCCAAGAGTCACTGGAACAAGTAGGTCTTTTCACATGCCCTGGCACTTGCTGTGCATGCAGGATCGCTTGACCTACTAGCGATCTTGGGGCATGCTGCTACAGTGCAATGACGCGTGGCGCTTGGCGACATGAGGTGCTGAGCCAGAGGGGTTGTTAGTATCAGCATGGAAAAGTGCCACAGCAGACCACAGTGGCCTTCTTCTGCAAGGGGTCAGGTGCCTGCAGTGACCTGCCTTGGGGCCACTGAGTCTGCCCAGAGTTTGATACCTGCATGTCACTAATGCTGCCAGTCTCTCCGAGGTGTGCGGTAGATTTTCCAGACAGATCCTGGCTGCTTGTTAACCAGTGATCACCCATATGCTCTTCCTGACCAGAGACTGTGGCTACTGCGGTGCCTGACTCCTTGAGTACGGGAAGAACAGAGAAAGCAGAACTAACTGGGCAGGTGTCCCATGTCAAATTACTGCTCTCTTTGATTCCTCAGTACTAGTCTGTTTTATGATTCTCCCATCAACTTTCTTTCTTCCAACTGCTTCTTCAGTTGGTTCCTTACCTGGTCAATTCAAGTTGTATAACTCACTTCTTTTTAATGAGTTAGTTAAAAATACTCAGTCCACAGCCAAGATCTTAAAATCTTTCAGCAAAAATCACAAGACCACTAAAAAAAAAAAAGTAATCTTCCCCTATTCTGTAGAGTGGAAAAAAGCAAAATAATTAATTCTAGGGAGGCTGGGCAAGTCCAGGGCTTAGGAGTGTACTGTGGTAGCAAACACAGGGTTGTGAGGTGGAACTTATGTGCAGAGAGCTCCCCACTGGTCTGTTGCTTGACCGCTTCCTTCTCTTCATTGTATGGGGAAGCATGAACTTGAGCCACCAGTCATGGGTGCCCTAAAATCTGGGGTAGACACAGACATGAACACACACAAACACTCAGATTCACGCACACGTGCACCAGCAGGCACGTGCATGTGCAGACGGGCACGTACATGCGTGTACACATGGGGGTGGTGTGTGTGCACACAGGCACGTGTGCGTGTGCAGGCAGATGCACACAGGCGCACTCTCACTCGGTGTTGCTGCCCCTCCAGACCAGAGTTCAGAAGAGGACTTTATATTCTTGTCTGAAACCCTTCACTGTTTCTGTTTCCTTGTACGAGTCAAGGTTCGTGATTCTGCTGTTTCTTTCTTTTCTTCCTGTCTCCTTCCCAGTGGTGTGGCAGAAGAAATCCTGAAGGTGTTTTCTTCTTCTCCTTGTCTTTGTTTTAGCAGTAGCCACATCCTGTCAGGGCAGCTTGAGTACCTCAGATTCTGCTCTTCCTTCCTGTAGCTTGTCTGCTCCAACACTTTGTCAGACAGCCTGCAAAGTCCGGCCGGGCTGTAGCTCTCTTCCTTATTCCATCTGTAGAGCTGGCGAGGCACAGAGCTCAGTCTACTGAGTCATCTTTTGCCTCTGCGTCAGGTATTTCAGAGATAGGTTCAATACTTGTTTTTATTCCCCGAGTCAGTCCTTGTCCCAGAGACACCTCAGATGCAGTGCAACCTATTCAAAAATTGGTGACATGAAGTAATTTTTTCTTCTGTGGTATTCTCTGTGCTGGTTCTCATCTCTACAGGGCTGCCACACATCTGCATTTTGGGCAGCTCAATGTCAAAGCTCACGACTGAATACTGGGCAGCCCAAAAAAGTTGTTGTACAAGGAGGCACTAAAGCTAGTCTAGACAAAGCCCCGTTGAGAACAGCCCTGAACAGGTCCCTGGCATCCTTCCATTCCAGTTTATAACAAGAGTTAAATGTGTGAATGCATATTTTTGCAGTCGTTAACCACAGTAGAGCAGACTTGTCCCAGTGGTCTTGTGTTTCTTCTGCTATGCTTGTGAAGGGGGTATTCCCATGGGAAGAACTGGGACTGCATGAAAATCTTTTGTCACATTGCTGCAGTGGATGAGTTGCTGCTGCTGTTAGCTCTTGTCTGTGCTGCTGGTGCTAACTCAGGGCTGAGAACCTGGAGGATGCCACTATGACTTGTTCTCCTTTCCTCATTCTTTTGCAGGACAATCCATGGATTGATCTACAATGCACTGAAGTTGTTCATGGAGATGAACCAAAAGCTTTTTGATGACTGCACGCAGCAATACAAGGCGGAGAAGCAGAAGTGAGTAAAGAGGTTCTTGTCGAGTAACTTGAGCCCATCCTGGAGTCTCCTTGGGGTACAGTAACAGATGGTAGATGCCAGTAAGCAGAAGGGTAATGGAAAGGTGGTCCAAATCATTTTGTCCAAAAGTAGGACTCCTCAGCAATAACTATGTCTAGGGATGACAAGAGGCAAAATGTGCTCCCTGATAAAAATCCTTTCAGTTCTGCTGAAGTAGGTAGCTTGGAAAAGAGTGACAGAGTTTGCTGGATCATAAGGAAATAAATTGCAATGTAGAGGATACTCAGCTTTGCAGAGATGCTTATGCTCTGCCTTGGCAATATTTACCAGCTCGTAGATGTTGTAGTGATACCAGTGGAATCCTGCTGCTTTAGAAAGACATTTCTGAAGATCTGTGCTGCAGGGGGCATAATGCATCTTTCATGCCACAGGATGCTTCCAATTTTCCAGTAATAAAGATGGAATAATACCTGGAATTTCAAAGAGCAAACAGTGGGGGTAAAATCTGAGCTCAGCAAGTACCTGTGCAATGGTGCTGTAAAGTGGGAAAAACTCCACTTTTTCTGCTTCCTCATGCTGATTTTGGTACTTGTACGACTTGCCTTATGAGCGAAATCAGTTCAGTAAGGTAGAAAGAAACTGGTTTTTTTTCTGGGTCTGTTTTCTGCTGACTTAGTGACATAAAGTAGTGCTTCTCATTCCTGGATGATCCAGGACTGTCACAAGAGTGACGGTGGGGAGAGCGGGGCTAACCCTTGCTGGCAGTGGGGAGCTCTGGGATACGTTCAGTTGTTTTGTGAAATAGCAATAAATAACAAGGTTGATACACGAATCAGAGCGTGGGGCTGGGTAACCTGCATGTAGAGAAATTAGTCACAGAATGTTAGGGACTGGAAGGGACCTTGAAAGATCATCTAGTCCATTAACATCTAAACTGGGAGCAAGGAAGATTTTCTTTTCCCCATTCTAGGGCATTTGTGAAGCCCACGAATGTCTGCACATTTATTTTAAGTCACAGTGACAGCACATTTACTATGAGAGCTACCTTGTGTTTCCACCAAGAGCTTTTTCTACCTGTTTAGCTTTTACCCATGCTGACCTGCTGAGGGTGACTGTTCCTAGCATTGGCGTGTGGCTGATGGAGGATTGTTCTGGAAAAGGTCAACAAAGCTGCTCAGAGCTGTCTAAGAAATGGATGGGTAGAGCTGCACTGTTTTCTGCTCATGTTAAGATGATTTTTTTTTCCTCTAGCACTTTTCTGCCTAATTATACTTCAGAAAAGCTTGCACTGGGTTTTTAACAAGGATATACCTTTTGCTCTCTTAGATAACCAAATTTGGTAAACCGTCTGTTTTAAAGCTTGGTGGGCGGGATGTGAAAACATCTTTTAGCAGCTGAAAACGAGCCGAGTTTACCTACGGTGAGCATAATACAATTCCTCAGCTAAATGGGATTTCCCTGCCACAGGCACCCAGATAAGGAGGCCTTTTTGGGCAGAAGAGAAAGGTGCTCAACTCTGCTGCCACCAGCACAGCACTAGTAGCTGTTGCGGGCTTGAGAAATGTGAAAACGTTCCCCTCTGAGGGAATGCTACAGCTGGGAGAGAACGTTGTGAAAGGTCTGTAGGGACAGGCTGGGAAACAACTAGAAAAGGAAATCGGTGGTAGAAGGGAATGGGGTAGGACAGCAGGCTGAGGGGAAAAGCAGCTTGTCTGGGCAAGGAGGTAGAGACTTTGGGCAGAGATACCTTGAAGACCCAGGGGGGTGGTAGTGTTAATGTCAACAGGTAGTAGGAATGGGCTAGATAAAGGGATGAAGTTAGAGGAGGAGAAACAAGTAGATTGGGGTTTGGGCAAGAGGCCTGGGACTGGACAGGTCGTAGGACAATGGTCGTGGGAAAGAATAGGGAGGATGAATTAGAAACCTCAGTTTACTAGAGCAGTATGCTTAAGTCCGTAGTAAAAAATGTCATCTTTTCACAGAATCACAGAATGTCAGGGGTTGGAAGAGACCTCTAGAGATCATCTAGTCCAACCTCCCTGCCAGAGCAGGATCACCTAGAGCAGGTCACACGAGAACATGTCCAGGCAGGTTTTGAAGGAGACTTTACAACCTCTCTGGGCAGCCTGTTCCGGTGCTCTGTCACCCTCACAGTGAAAAAGTTTTTCCTTATGTTTACATGGAGCATAAATGCTCCTTGTCTTTAAAATATCCAAGAAATACAAGCAAATCCATGTGCACATAACAGTGTGGCTGCATGTTCTGAAGTGTAATAGAACCAGTTATTACTGGAACAAATGGAGTTAGAAAAAGCATGGTTCACAGACCAGAAAAAGTGTGGTTTAGTGATGTCTCCGTGGTGGAACAAGACCATTTTGTAGCCAAAGAGTCTGCTGCAGGGTTTGGGATGGCA